AAGCTTGTAAATTTCATTAGGTCCCATTTGTTTATTCTTGGTTTTATTTCTTCTAGGAGAAAATTTTTGAGGTGTATGTCAGATAATGTTTTGCCTATATTTTCCTCTAGGAGGTTTATGTTAAGTTATCAAAGACTTATGTTTAAGTCTTTGATCCATTTTGAGTTGATTTTTGTATATGGTGTAAGGGAGTGTTCTAGCTTCATTGTTTTACATGCTGCTGTCCAGTTTTCCCAACAGCATTTGCTGAAGAGACTGTATATTCCATTGTATATTCTTGCCTCCTTTGTCGAAGATGAGTTGACCAAAAGTTTGTGGGTTCATTTCTGTTCTCTCTATTCTGTTCCATTGGTCTGTATGTCTGTTTTGGTACCAATACCATGCTGTCTTGATGACTGTAGCTTTATAGTATTGCCTGAAGTCTGGGAGAGTGATTTCTCCAGCCTCTTTCTTTCTCTTCAGTAATGCTTTGGCAATTCTAGGTCTTTGATAGTTCCATATAAATTTTATTATGGTTTGTTCTAGTTCTGTGAAATATGTCCTGGGTAATTGGATAGGGATTGCATTAAATCTGTAGATTGCCTTGGGCAGTGTGAACATTTTAACAATATTGATTCTTCCAATCCAAGAGCATGGGATATCTTTCCATCTTTTAAAGTTTTCTTTAATTTCCTTCATCAATGGTTTATAGTTTTCTGTGTATAATTCTTTCGCCTCCTTGGTTAGATTTATTCCCAGATATTTTATTACTTTGGGTGCTATTTTAAAGGGGATTGTTTCTTTACTTTCTTTTTCTGTTGATTCATCGTTAGTGTAAAGAAATGCCACTGATTTTTGAACATTAATTTTGTAACCTGTTACCTTGCTGAATTCTTCAATCAGCTCTAGTAGTTTTTGTGTGGACCTTTTAGGGTCTTCTATATATATAGTAACATGTCGTCTGCATATATGACACTTTTACCTCTTCTTTTCCAATTTGGATCCCTTTTATTTCTCTCTCTTGCCTGATTGCTGTGGCTAGGACTTCCAAGACGATGTTAAATAGGAGTGGTGATAGTCGGCATCCTTGTCTTGTCCCAGATTTTAGAGGGAAGCTTTTGAGTTTTTCACCGTTGAGAACTATGCTGGCTGTAGGTTTGTCATATATAGCTTTTATTATGTTGAGATACGTTCCCTCTGTACCCACTTTGGTGAGAGTTTTTATCATAAATGGGTGTTGAATTTTATCAAATGCTTTTTCTGCATCGATTGAGATGATCATGTGGTTTTTGTCCTTTCTCTTGTTGATGTGATGTATTACATTGATTGATTTGTGTATGTTGAACCACCCTTGTGTCCCTGGGATGAACCCCACTTGGTCATGATGTATAATCTTTTTTTATATGTTGTTGGATTCTATTTGCTGATATTTTGGTGAGGATTTTGGCGTCTATGTTCATCAGTGATATTGGCCTATAATCTCTTTTTTGGTAGTGCCTTTGCCTGGTTTTGGTATTGTCCACTCCTTATTGTCGAGTAAAAAATACCCAGTGATATCCATGGTATAGATACTCTATAGTTTTCTTGAGTCATTCTTTATCAAAGGACTTTTTGATTACTTCTTGTTTTTGGGTACTGCAAATAAAGTTCATTTAAATATTAATGAATAGGTTTCTATGTGGACATAAATTTTTATTCTTCTGGGATAATTCCCCAAGAGTGTGATTGCTGGCTCCTATGCTAGATGTGTTTAATTTTTTAAGAATCACCAAACCATTCTTCAACATTACTACACATTTAATATTTTTACCAGCAATATATGAGAGTACCAGTTTCTCTGCATTCTTGCTACTGTTTGGCATTATTGATATTTTTTAAAAATTTAACTTTTCTAATAGTTATATAGTGATAGCTAATCATGGCCTTTATTTGCTTTACCCTGATGACTAAATACACTGAACATCTTTTAATGTACTTATTTGTTTGTGTATGTCTTCTTCAGTGAAATATCTCTTCTGTCATTGGCCTGTTTTCTATTTTGACTCTTTGGCTTTTTGCTGCTGAGTTTTAAGAGATCTACACATTCTAGATAGGAGTCAATTTTCAGATACATGATTTGCAAATAGTTTCTCCGACTGCTCAGTTGTCTTCTCATTATCTTAACAAAACCTTTCACAGAAAAAAATTTTTTAAATTTTGGTGAGCTCCAGTTTGTCAATTTTTTCTTTTATGAGTCATGTTTTTCATTTTGTGTCTAAAACTCTTCACCAAGCTTTAGGTCCCCAGATTTTTTTCTGTGTTTTCTTCAAAAAGGTTTATAGTCTTACGTTTTATATTTAAATATATGACTCATTTTGAATCACTTTTGATATGAGACGTGAGTTATAGGTCAATGTTCATTTATTTTATTTTATTTTAGCCTGTGAATATCCAATTGCTCCAGCACCATTTGCTGAAAAGATCATCATTTGTCCATTGAATTTCTCTTGCACTGCTGTCAGTTAAAGAGGAAGGAACTTGTTTTGTAAAATGAGTTGGGGAATGTTCCTTCTGCTTTCATTTCTGGAAGAAATGATGTAAAATTGGTATTAATTTCTCTTTGAATATCTGGTAGAATTTTCCAATAAAACCATCTGGGCCTGCAGATTTCTTTTTCAGGAGTTTTTAAAACCACAAATTCAATCTGAAAATTGTTACAGAGCTATTAAAATGACACATCACTTTCATGACATAAAATAACTGATTTATCTACTTGATTTAGGTGTCGCACAGGTAGCCTTGCTTACTAAAGTGAAAAACAGCAATGAAGTTCTTGAAAACAACTTCTCAAAGATGAGTAAATCTATGATTTCTCAAAGCCAGGTAAAGAATACTTTTTGCAACTAGACAATATTGAAATAGTGTGTGTGTGCGTGTGCTCGTGCACTCATATGTGTGTGTGTGTGTGTGTGTGTGTGTGTGTGTGTGCTCACACTGTATACTCACAGGTAAATGAAGACATGGATCAACTGCCTGGTTGATTCAAGTTTATACCCCACTTTAAAATAAGAATCATGTGAATTATAATTATACTCAGAAAATAATTTATTAAGCTATTACTTTTTCTGTTTCTTGAATTATATTTCAGTTCAGCCAAATTTTAGATATAAGGCTTATGCTTATTAAATTCATTTTTTCCACAGATAATAATTGCCAGCGAGCTGCTAGGCATTCCTGTTTCTAAAATCTTCGTGGTTGAAAATTATGCTTCAGAGCAGGAGATGGACCCCGTAAAGGACATTCTGATCCTGTCTGCGCTGAAGCAGATGTTGAGAGCTGCAGATGACTTCTTAGAGGATCTGCCTCTTGAATAAACAGGTGCTCTGGCCCCTTTCTGCTCCTCTCCAAAAGCACTGGTGCTTTTTGACAAACTCTAAACTATATCTCAGTTGGAGGGCTGGCGTCCATCTGCCTGTTCCAGTTCTGTCAGCCATGTTTCTATATGTGCTTTGTTTTTACCCTTTTTATGTTTTGTTTTCAGATGCAGTTGTGGGAATGGTCCAGCTCTGCAAGCAGTATCAGTTGCCTTGATTCAGACACTTGGCCCAAACTGGGGTTGCTGACAATCTTCTTGAGACTCTGCTTTCATTCACAGTTTCGCCTCTGTCCCCGACAATATCTTCCTGATGGTTCCTTCTAAAATCAGTCATACCTCAGGTGCAGAGGCCAACCCTGAGCAGTGGTGGACCCTACTGCAAACCACTCTCTGTATTTCTTCACTATTTACAGTTTAATCCCTATGACACCTTTCTAAATCTCCTCAGCAAAATCAGCTATTCCCTTACAATGAAAAATCTATGTGAGCACTAATCACATTGACTATAAAACGATTAACGTAGATATCTGTTGCTCTAAATAAATTGTGTTTTTGAGAAGCAGGATTTGGATTTGGCTTATCTTTGTATTCACAGAAATTAGCACCGTGCCTGTCAGGGAGTAAGCACACCTGTTATTAAGCATCCCTCCCAACCTTCCCAGAGCAATAACATGTACTTAAAGTTTTCTCCTTATAGGAGAGAAGACTTGGACAGAATGAAATGCTGGAGAGAAATAAAGGAGGGAGAATGTTTCACTTATCTCTGGATGAAAATATGAATTGAAGTTAATTGAAAAGAACAAGTATTTCTCAAGGACTTACATCTTGTTTCTCCAAAAAAAAATAGTTTTTCCTTTAATGAACTCAGGCCTGATTTTCATTAATTGAATTCCAAACCATCCTAGCCATGTTTCCAAAGTAGAATGATCAAATAAGATTACTAGTGCAAGTCAAAGAAAATGGAATATTATTCAGCCCTAAAAGGAAGGAAATCCTGTCATTTTAGACAAAAATGGATGGACTAGGACATTATGCTAAGTGGAATGGGTCAAACAGGAAAGACTAATACTGTATGATATCATTTATACGTGGGATCTAAAAAAGCCAAACTCATAGAAACAGATAGTGGAATGGTGGTTGCCAGGGGCTGAGGGGTGGGGAAAATACAGGGGATGCTGGCTAAAGAGTACAAATTTCCAGTTGTAAGATGAATGAGCTCTGGGGATCTAATGTACAGCATGGTGACTATAGTTAACAGTCCAGTATTGTATACTTGAAAATTGCTAAGAGAGTAGCTCTGAAATGTTCTCACCTCACATACAAAAAAAGGTAATGGCTTGAGGGGATGGAAGTGTTAACTTACTTTATTATGGTAATCAGTTCACAACATATATGTGTATTAAGTCATCATGTTGAATACCTTAAAATTACATAATGTTATATATTAATTATATCTTAATAAAGCTTGACAAAAAGTAAAAACAAAAGTGACTCTTTCTGAGAGAAATTTGTAGCATTGTCCAAATTCACCCAGAATCCACCTTAATAAAATACCAAAGAGGAGTGGTTACGGAGGGTGATGTGTAAGCCCTTGTCTTCTCTAGAAAACTAATTTTAAAGATTATCATGTTGCTTCTTCATTAAAAAAGCAGGCTCATAACTAATTTGATAAAATCGACTGGGGGACTCAAGTAAGTCCCAGGTACTTCAGAGACCAGCAGATAAGTAAGCATCTTGTAGGGACAAAACCCCATCGGATGCTAAAGTAGCCACTTGATAGCAAGGCTGATCAAAGTCTTCAGGTATTCCCCAAACTGTGGGAATCTGGAGGTCCCTAAATTCCATCCCTAATGTGATGAGTCTTTGGGCCAGTTTATGGAGGACAGTAGGTTAAGTACATCTGATTTTTGCTGTCAATCTAAACAAGCAGGAATCTTGCCTACAAGTTGCAAACCCTTGCACAGTTTTTTTCTGATGTTGGAGAAGATGTAGTCCACTGGGGTCAGCAGGAGAGAGAGTTAGGATTATAGCCAAAATCCAGCTGCGTGTCACGTCCCTTACACAGGTAGATGCAAGCTGTTCCAGGCTCCAGGACAGGAATGTCAGTGTAAGCAAAACTGCAAGGGCAGATTGCAGGAGTTGGAGAGGGGGTGGGGAAGAAGACTAACAAGCTGTGCTCAGCAGTGGGGGGTAAATCATTGTAACGTTTAATAGGTTTTTGAACAATTGATTTCTTTGGCATATTTCATCACAGTGCATGTCTGACATTAATAAAAAAATGCAAGGAAATATATTTAAGCTTTTGACTTCATTTGTCTCCCATTTGATGAGGTGCTGTGGAAGTAATTCATAAGTGAATGGACTACTACAATTTAAATAAGTGCACTAAAACAAATACATTCGTGGCATTCTGAGTGTGTCAGACCCTGTTCTGCCTGGTTGGAAATTGGTGGTTCTGTTCTCAGTGTAGACTTAGAGAGGGGAGATTGTCAAGTCCCTAAGACTGAAGAGTCCAGGGAGGAAAAAAAAGTGATTCATCTACATGATAGGACGTCAGAGATTTCAAATGGGCACCACGTGTAGCTAAATAACCTCTTAAAATAGCAACTTTTGTAATTTTTTTCTTTACTTCCTTGTATATGGTTCTTTCTCCATTTCCCAGAGTTACTCACTGAGTAACTCCTGAGTCCTCCTGAAAATTAAGATTTTTTAATCTGGAGAGTGAAAAAAAAAATCCTAAAACCATGTTCAGATATTTTAACATCCATAGTGGACCCTTGGGAGTCCAGGCCATGAAAGAATCTGAACACAGAATTTAGGAAATCGTTATGGATTAAAAAAGTAATAGAGGAACCCAGTTCTGTAGAAACTACAAGGTGGTCACCCATCCAGAGGAAAGAGGGAAGAGAAACTGGCCATAACTCTGGGGGAAGTATGAAAGAGGGACAGAATTGGAGGGACCAAGAGGAAGGGTGTGGTCAGCAAAGGGGAGCTTCTCAGTACCACGTGAGGGTCAAGGACACTGACTGGAAGCAACATGTCCGAAGTCTTCATTCCCATCTGACAAAGCCCTATACTTCACATGATAAAGAAGAAATGTTATCTGTCAGTCTTATCAATGTGGCCTGTGGGCCTTTCAAGAATAATGGCATGACTGTCATCTACAGATTATATAACAGAAGGACACACCTCTGTCCTGAAATTTAGCTGAGGCTGTCTGAACAGTCGGAGTGCATCCCCTTTATAAAGGCTTGAGACACTTGGAATGCTCCCAACATATATAGTGGATCCTTGACACTAAAAGGTCCAGTGGAGATGTGCAAGAGGGAACCCCAACACAGGATTTTAGATAGGGCTTATCACACCTCTGATCTCCTAGAGAGCATCTATGTTTTCCAAAGACTTTGGGATAGAAAAACTGGGAATATCAATTTCTTGAAGGAGCTGGTCCATTCAAATGACATGATTTAAGAGCTACCTAAGTCTTGGGTTATTTGTATGTATGTTGGAGGGGAGGTGGGGAGCAGGTTTGAAACTACATCTTGATAAATGCTGATTGCACAGTATCTCTTAAAAGAATTTGAGGTAAGTCCAGACTACTAAATGATCTCTCTTCCCATCTGCATGTCTTGTTTCTTTATTATTAAGGAGCTAAGCCTTATTTATTTCCATTCTATTGACGATACAGAGACTGTGTCAAATATTACCCTAAGATTCCCACTTTCTAATTGAACTGACAGCTGTTTCTCAGGTGATGTTAGACCCTCTGGCTCCAGTCTGAGTTCTTGAAGCTGTCTTCAAAATGGAAAAAGACCTCTTGCTCTTTTGAGCCTTCCAGGGAGCAGTGGAACCTGATTGTAGAAAGTGGGGATTGATCCCATGACCTTGTGTATGCTAAGCACGGGCTCTACCTCTAAGACATACCATCCCCATCAACAAACCCTTTTGTATTACTCAATGTTCTCTGCCTGAGGCTGCTCCTCCCATCACAGCTTTTCAGAAACCTTACTATGTTTCCTTGCTGGAATCAGCTTTAGTCTTATGTCACCAGCAGCACATAAAGCAGTGGACTCCAATACATTAAGACCCTCAGTTGATTGGCCCATTTGGCAAGAGACCCTCTTCACTGAGCATGAAAATAGGGAAATGGAAAACACTCATCCTTGAAGGTCCATTCACGGTGGCCAGGGCAGGACACCTCCCTCCCAGTTGCTAGCACGGACCACAGCGCATCGCTCAGCTCTGTGGAGACAGCTTCTCTGCAGCTTCACTCTCTTTTTCACAGTCGAGTCACATTCTCATGTCTAGCACTGCCCAGGATTTCCCTAGCTGGAGGTAGTCACCACTACCCAAATGCCCTCTCCCCACAGTGAGACAAGACCATCCCTCAAGCTCCCAGCTCCTCAGGAAGAGAATGAGTCTTTCTTGATGTATAAGTGGAAGAGGCTTTGAAGGAAAGAGCTCCACCATTGGATGCAGCTGATCACTTTCTCCTTTACATGGCTCCTGGGATAACTTACTCTTCTAGATTTTCTTTACTTTTCTTTACTTTTCTTGGATAGACCCTTCTAATCATTATGACCTGTAGATGGTGGGGAGAGGGGCAGGTCTTGGTCCATAGGGCTGCCCTTATTCATTTAAACTCACTCTTAGCTTTAAATTTATCTATACGCTGATGATTCTCAAATTCAAAGTCTAACCTTGACCACTTTCCTGGTCTCTGATCTCATGCACCCAACTCCCTATATTACGTATGCAATTCTAGGTTTCAGTGGAAGACAGACTACCTAGTTTCCCCTCAAGAAGTCTTCTAGTATATTCATCTCAATCAATGCTTCCACCATCTACTCAGTGCTCAAGCCAAAATCCTTGGGATCAGACTAAATTCTTCTTTTTCCTTCATTCCTACTCCCTACTCCCCGTGTCCAGTCCAACAACAAGTTCTCTTGTTTTTTTTTTAATCCTTAAAGGCATCCAGATTCCGACCACTTTACATTGCTTCCCCCACTGCCACTAGTCTACGTGACCTTGATCTTTCACCTGATATTGCAATAGCCTCCTAGGTGCCCTACGCTCGTTCTCTTACCAGAGTGATCACTGACTTCCTTCTCTTCCATATCTACCTGACTCCAGCCATACTGGCCTTACTGCCACCCAAGTTTGTCTGTGCTTGCCCTTCTCTGCCCACAGTGCCCTTCCTCTAGACATGTCCATGGTACTGTGGCCCCTTCATTCAGGTCTTTTTTTTTCAAGGTCATCTCCTCAGACCTTCCCTGATCACGTGGTGTAAAGGGCAGACACCTTCTCACATCATTCCTTTTCCTCTTGTTCTCATTTGTTCTCCTCACAGTGCTTTTCTCTGGATGACGCTTGTGTTGATTGTCTGCCTTCCAGGGAAGAATGTAGCTTTATGGGGGCAGGAACTTCATCTGTCTTGCCTGCTGCATCCTTAGGCTTCAGAACAGTGGGGGCACATGGTCGGTGTCTGGTAAATATTTTCTGGAGGAAAGAATGAAGGAAAGACTCTTAGTTCAGAACGCAAATAGGAAGCTTACCTTGCACAGCTAGAGACATTAGAGTAAGCAGACAATGAATGACTTTTGAAAAGAGCATCAATTCAGCGGAAGATCAGTGATCTCTTAGATGTTATTTTTTTACTTTTATTTTCATATCAATGAAATGCATTATCTAAGTATATTTATGTATGTCATTGCCCTTAAACTGTGGCCAGGCAGTTTAATAGTACTACAAACTTTCTTACAAAACAGGGAAAACCAAGGTAATATACTGTTTGGAAATTTTGGACTTTTAAAAATAACTATAATGAGGTATAACCGAGATCATTAAATTACTGAAAGTATATAATTGGACCAGTTTGGGTAAATATATGTACTTATGAAGCCATTATCATGCTATTTTCACTTAGATTATAGCTCAAATCTTGGCTTTAAATTCAGTAGCAGAATGAAGTTTAGCAAATTATTTAATTCCAGTATTTTGTTTATTGATCTGAAAACTGGAGGAAATATTAATATCTTTCTCATAAGGTTATTGAAATGAATAAATGAGATACATGGAAACAGCTTGGCAAATAATAAGCATATAATAAGTTCTGGCACTTTTTTAACTAAGTAAATAATACCTAAAACTGCTTAAAATATTTTTATTCAATATTGCTTTTGTTTTTTAATAGTGTCAAAAACTTGAATTTCTTTCTGATCCAGGAAGCTAATTTAAATTTGTCAGAACCAAGAATAGGGGATTTGTGAGGATAATTGGGAACTGGAATGATATAAAAGCACTCAAATTTAAATTGCCCACACTCCCCCCTGAAAAAATGAAAGCAAGCAAGCAAGCAAGCAAGCAAGAAAGAAAGAAAGAAAGGAAGGTAGAAAGGAAGAAAGGAAGAAAAGAAAGGAAGAAAGAAGGGAAGAAAGAAAGAAAGAAAGAAAGAAAGAAAGAAAGAAAGAAAGAAAGAAAGAAAGAAAGAAAGAAAGAAAGAAAAAAAAAAGAAAGAAAGAAAAAAAAGAAGAAAAAGAATCATGTTGGCCCTCTAAGTCTGCAGGTTGTGTTCAGTCTGTAGGTCACGTTTGTGCCCCTCGCTCCCAGCAACATAAAGTCAGAGAAGTGTGTTTTAGTGTGAAATTGATGTGATTTAGTAAACGTTTTACAAATCAAGTTGATGCTGGCTGTGCTGAAGAGAAAGAACTGGAGAGAGGAAAGCAGAAAAGCAGAGGAACCAACTAGGAGACTATGTCAACAGTCTCCAGAAGGACAGACGTTGGTTTAGGACTTAGCGATAGCCGGGATCAAGAGCAGTGAACGAATCTGAGACGCATTCTGGATTAGAATGGACTGTACTTTTACTGTACATACACAGAAACTGAATTTTTCTTAAAAATTTTTTTAAAAGTCACTTAAAGACAGTAGTGAGCTCTAAGCTTTGGTCAACAAAAATAATCAATAATCAATAATAAGAAGAGAAAAGAGTTTTATTTGAGCCAAACTGAGGACTAGCCTGGAAGCCCACGTCCCACATGACTCTGAGGCACTGCTCTGGAGAAGCATGGATTCCAGCACAGTTTTGTATCTTGTCAGAACACAGAACATTAAGTAAGTCAGGAAAACATTTCTTCAAGGTTTCAAAAAATAAAAAAAATAAAAAAACACAAAAACACAGATCAGCGTGTACAGAGCGAGTCAGCACGGCCTTGGCCCTGGAAAGGGAGCCTTATCCTCTAGGGAGGACCAGCATTGGTGCCCCAGGAACGGAGGCGTTAAATCTTTATTTTTAACATGAACATTCTTTACTTCTGGTCAGTGTGCTCTTTTCTTTAATAATTAAAGCAGATGTACAATGCATGTTTGATAGGCTGCAAACAGGCTGTTCAGTTAGCATAAAATTCCAGTTAACTCATGTATAAGCCAGAATAACTTCCCTATAGCTCAATACAGGAAAATTTCTTCTATCATAGTTTGATTCCTTCGGACTTCCATTCCTTGATTCTCGCCGTCTTATTTTTACGTGACTTGACTATCTAAAATTAGCTGGAGCAGTTTTTACTTGCTCACTGGAGGGAAGCTGGCACAGAGCCAGCTGGGCTGGGTCACACTGAGTTTCAGTTTCCTCTTCCCTGAGTCTTGGAAGCCTCATTGCTGAGAAATTTTCAGCTTTCACTTTGTGCCTGCCTCGCTGTCCAGACGCAGCAGCTAGTCTCAGCTTCAGCCCTTGTAGAGATTCTACAAACGGGTAAATGACTTGCTCCTTTCCCCTCTTCCTAGCCACTTGCAAATAATGGTTTTTCTTCCTTTTTTTTAAATCAGAAAGTAATCATTTAGAATGAAAAACTAGCTAATGATTTTTCTTGCTATCTATTCACCCTCTGTTTACTCATTTCATGTACAATTGAGAGGTAAATAAGGGGCATAAATGCAAGCTTTGTGACAGTGCATGTAATCTGTTTTTCAATATTTAATGGAAACTGTGTTTGCTTTTCCACTAGATTGAGAAGTATGGCAGTGACAACTTGTTTAACGTGGATGCAAGAAAAAGTGCTGCAAAATTATTTTGGAGAAAAGCAGTTTAGCCTTCTCTATAAGGCCAGTGTCCATGACTTCTCCAGTAAAGGTTTGCTTGAGAGATGCTCTAATCAAGGACCTACTATAACAGTGATTTACACTGGAGATTACATTGTTGGGGCGTATGCGCAGAACGACAAAGAGGAATATGTTTTCATCACCCTTTTTGTCTTTCAAGAGACTGAAATTTCAGAATGCAAAATAGGACCATTCCAGCTATCTATGGTGTTTCAAGATAATTGTAAATTTTGTGTAAATCTAGAGAAAAAAAGGATGTATATTAGCCCAGAAACAAAGGAAAAACTTGGAGTATGTGGATATATTTCCTTCCAGGAATGTGAAGTTTTTCGATGTGAAGGTAGGTTTACCCAGATCATCCTACACAGAATTTTTGTCTTTATGTGTGAATGGTTCTAGCTGGCTCATCCCTGTAAGAAACAGTGACTTTTTTACTTGTCCTCATCTCCAGCCGGTCCAGACTGAAATCTGGCCACAATCTGTTTTCTATAACACAACTACAGTCGAAAGAAGCATATAGGGTTTTCTGGAGTTTGTTGGGGAAGGGGTGGGAGATTAGGAGGTAAGGTGGAAGGAAGAGAGAGAAAGCAACAACTTGAAGATTGTCAGATTCTCAGAAAGAAATCAGAGTTTGAACTTCTCTTGATTAGCACTGGACCCTTTCTACTGCAGTTTCCCATTCTATCCATTATATCAAAAGGCCAAAATTAATTTCCTTATTTTTCTATTAAAGGACATTTCAATTGTTTCCTATATTTGCTGTTATAATCCATGCTTCTGTGATACATGCATGCATATATCTGTGCACAAAATTACTTCTTTTTGGTAACTTCCCAGTTGTGGAATCGCTGTTTTAAGAATTATGTGCTTTTGCATTTCATTAGACAACAAAGCTTCAGTGGTCTTTGTTATCCCCAGGACTGTTACAGAAATACCTCTTTCCCTGTATCCTTGCCAGTCTTTACTATTATTAATATTTAGAATATTTATCAATTTCATGGTCAAAAGATGGTTTCTCATTTTATTTGCGTATCCCTGATCACTAACAGGTCTCTGTGTATTGGCCATTTATATTTCTTCTATGAAATAGTTTCTTATAACTATCCATTTAAAAGCAGGGCTCCTGGGAATAGTATTCCCTGAGCATTTGCATGTTCCAAACTAATTGTGCTTTTTATACATAAACGACTATCAGAATACATATTTCATGGAGCACACTTTATTTGGGGGAATATTGTAATGTTTCAACAGCACTGATGGAAACATTACAATTGTCGAAAACCTCAGGTTAGGCGTATTTATTTGTAGTATTTTTAACTGTTTCTCCTTGAGTGATTTAATCTTTCTTCCTCACTGTCCCAAACAACTAAAAACTTCTTGTTGTTGAAGTCTGGTAAATTTACTTGGATATGTCATGGTGTTGACCATCCTCAACCAGTTAAGTAAACTGTTTATTGAAGTATAATACATTAAAGGAAATGCATAATTGATCAGTATATCAAATGACAAACTTTTATAAATTGGATACACTGACATAACCACTGCCTGGATGAAGAAATAGATTATTACCATCATTTCAGAAGACTCCTTTAAGACTCTTCTCAGTTATTACTAACCAAAGGTAACCATCTTTCTGGCTCATATTAACATTAATACTTATTATTTTTGAATTTTATATAGATGGAACCACAGCAAAGTATATGCTCTTTTATGTCTGACTTCTTTCCTTCAATACTGTGTGTGAAAGATTGGGCTAATATAAGGGGATTGGATTGTAAAACCAGAGCTCTACAAATCAAATGTCATACCCAGAATCAAGTTTTACTAATAATTTCAAGAATAAAGCCAATCAAAAATCTCAGAGAAGGCAGAAAAAGTACTAGGATATTCTGTGTGGCTCCTAGGTTCTTCCTTTCCGTATTTGACATATGCTTTCTGGCTAAGAACAACATGCAGGGATTCAAAACTAAGTTTGTGGGCCGCCTTATATATCAAAGAGTGGTTAGGTTATGGAACATTTACATGCTGGTGCTATGGACCGGATTGTGTCTTCCCCAAATTCATATGTTAAAGTCCTAACACCCAGTGTGACTATACATGGAGATGGGGCCCCCAAAGGAAATAATTAAGGTTAAGTGAGGTCATAATAGTGGCGCTGTAATCTGATAGGGATAGGATACATTTCTATATAAGAAGGGACAACAGGGAACTTTTTCCCTCTCCTCGAATCCACAAAAAGAGGTCTTGTGAGCAGACAGCAAGATGGCAGCCACCTGCAAGCCAAGAGAAAAGGCCTCAGAAGGAAATCCACCTTGCCCACACCTTGATCTTGGTGTGGGACTTCGCCTCCAGAACTGTGGGAAGTAAATGTCTGCTGTTTAAATCACCCAGTCTAAGCTAATCTGCACAGCAGCCTGAGCAGACTGACACAATTAGCTTATGTGACATTTCTAGAAAGTGATGCCCCATAAACCCAGAGAATCTAGATTTATTTACTATAAATAATACTTAGCCAGGGACCTCCTGCCAAGGACATTCAAGAGATAAGTACTGTCCTTGTAGCAAATATCATTAGTCTATTTACCAGGAGATAAGATTATTAGCATATTTATAAGAAAATGGAGCCCAGTCACATTTTTTCCCCTGAAAGTGTTACCTGGTAAAGCGAGCGAATGTATCACAGACCAGTTGTTTCAATTTCTACCTCCTTAGTGATTCAGCCATAGTATTATCTGTAGTAGTATTTTTTCCTGTTAACTTTCATATACTATTCCATTGCAATGATTCTATCATATTAAAAGAAAAAATCAAATCACTTTTGGTGAACATTTGGGTCTTCCAGTTTGGGACTATCACAAATAATATTGCTATAAATATTCTTGTGCATGTCTTTTGGTTCATGTATGTTCATATTTTTTGAAGAATATAAGTATGAAATTTCTGGGTCATCGAGTATGTGTATGTTCAGCTTCAGTGGAGACTGACAAAGTTTTCCAACACTGTCATACCCATTTCCACTACCACAAGCAGTGTACGAGACTTTCTGCCACTCCGAATCTTTCCCCACGTTTTTTATTACTGGTTTTACAATATGTAACCATTCTGGTATGTGAGCTATGGTGTGACCTTTTGTGAATTTGGCTTTCTTTCATTAGACTAGTTAGCAATTTATTTATTTCACATTTTTAATTAATTAATTACTATGTTAATTTATCCTTTTTTCGATTTATGGATTTGTATTTCTGTTATATTCTGATATTTCTAAGGTTTGTTCCCTTTCATTCTTTTCTGTTTCTGTTTTCTATTTCCTTCTTTCTTGTTTGTCATGAAAGGTACTTTTATCACAAGGTTTGTATAAAGTATTTGTATTATTGTTATTTTCTGTATATTTACAATTGTGATTTTTTTAATTTCCTTTTGGGTGTTAAAGCTATTTAAGAGGTTGCCTTTCCCTTTGTTTACACTCCTTTTCTAGCTTTATTGTAGTCATTGAACATAGTCTTGACTATTTCTACTTTTGGTCATTTAAAGAGGCTTTCTTTGTAATCATACAGATAGCTATATTTATAAATGTTACACACAGTTATTATTCTTTTGTTGTTTAGAGAATTACCAGCATTACTACACCTAATCCTTTCAGTTTTAAATGCATCATAAAAGAGTGTCTCTTTTCAAGAAAGGAAAGAATTCTGGGCCTGAGTCTCATTGGTTCAAATGAAGACCTAAGCCCACCCCTGAATTGCTCACTGCTCTTTGATTGGCTAGGCAGAAGTTCTACATTCTCTTGAAAGCAGCAAGAAGAATATCAATTGGATTGGAAGTTCCAGGAGGCGCAATTATTAATAGTAGATTTTGGAGAAAATCTAGTGCTTGTGATTGTTTTTGTTTGTGTGTCTTTGCACATTATCCCTTTCAGATCTGTTGGATTATGGAGGAGAAAATATTTTAGAGTATTTCCTGTCTTTCCCTAGTCTGTCCATGTTTCTAGACCTTGCTTCTGTGATTTACAGAGGACCCCGCCCTCATCTCCCATGTTGGAGTGAGTCACACACTACTGCTCGGTAATTTGGGGAGAAAAATCTGCTGACACTATAGTCTTTCAGTGCCCACCTTGACTCTAGCTCTAGACTCTTCAAATGTGATGATGTTAAGAAGATTTCCCATAACTTTCTACATTTGCTTTTCACTATCCTGCACTATTCCTACCGAAAGGCTATTTATGCATTTTTTCCATAGTGAATTCATTGACATTCATTTAGTGTCCATCATTCAACAGCTTGTAATCGTCATTGTTATTTGATTATTTCTCTAGATTTATTGGACAAAAGGAGGATGGAAGGGGTCATAGAGTAAGTCAATGTTTTTAATGTTCTATCATTCTGTTCGTTATCGTAGGCTTATTCTGTTACAGTTTCTGTCAATAAAATTGGTAGTACAAATTATCATAGAAAACTTGTGGATCATCCAGAACAAACTATATCTATAATCATAAAATATTTGGTAATAGTAGTGTTAAAACAAAAAGGACACTGAGTAGATGGAAGATATTTCTAATGTTTTTATGTAGTTGAAGCAAAATGATTATTTGGCTGAATACATCTGTCTACATTTTTACTTAGAATTCTTACAGTTCCAGTTCCAGCTACTTTAGGGAAGGGGTGGTTGGCAGGTAGGGAACACCCATCATGAACTCCAAGAACATGTTAGAAATTGTCTACTTCCATATACTTCAGAAGTCACATATTATGTTGTGGTTTTTGAAGTTTATTGCTGATAATTTATCTTCATGTTCAACATAGTTGATATTTATTCAGGGGTGTATATGACCTGGTTGCTTAAATCTGAAAAGTTTCATGTCTGATTTGCTTTAGTTAAAAGTGCTATGTTTGCTTTTACTTCTTTAACAATAGGATTTGGAGATAGGATAGTTTCATGTCTTTTTACATGAGTTGCTAATCAAAAATAAATAATAACCTATAAGAAAAGAAACTGAATTCTAGGAAAGTTTATGGTAAGGCCTTGTGACCTATCCTTAGTCAACTTTTAAAATTGTCTTGTCTAAACAGGCTCAAGGACAAGTTGTTGTCTGCCATAAGAACTTACAAACCATATGGAGACTTGGTTCACCAAACACGAATTCTGCTTCTGGGTCCAATTGGAGCTGGCAAGTCCAGCTTTCTCAACTCAGTAAAGTCTATTTTCCGAGGTCATGTAACAAACCAGGCTTTGGTGGGTTCTTATACATGTGGGACCTCTGATAAGGTGAGTCCATTCTAGGTCACTCAGCCTTTGTGTCTTTGCTCAAGTCACTTAGATTTGAACAGGCTTTTGCTGATCAACTTCATTACAGATAAACTCTATTTCAATTTACAGTTTTTTAAAAAATGAACTCTTCAAGTTTTTTTTTCCCTATACAGTACAGAACATATTTTATAAACGATGGAAAGAATGCTGACACCTTGCCATTTATTCTGTGTGACTCATTGGGGCTGAGTGAGACAGAAGAAGGGCTCTGCATGGGTGACATACCCTACATCTTAAAAGGCCACATTCCTGACAGATACAAGGTATGATTTAGTTACTTATTGAGAAAGTATAATTGATATTTAAAATGTTTATTTTTGCCCACTCTCAACAATATCAGACTCTAGTGCATTGACATTGATTTTTTTTTAAATTACACTTGTTCAAAATCCTTTGCTGCTTTTTGATATTTTATTTTACAGAGAATTAAAACACCTGAAGGATTCTTCTGTCATAGCTGTCATAGCAACTCTGAATGTTGTTATACATTCAATTGCTTTTGGCTCTGTGAAACAGAAATCCAACTATGTTAATTTACTCACATGGGTAATTTTTCTATGTAACAGAAAGTCTGAAGATAGGCAGCTTTGGGCCAGTGTGACAGGTTATCAATTTTCAAGGATCCTTCTGGCTTTCTGTTCTGAGACCCTCAGCCTGGGATGCTATGATGAAATCTCACCCACCCCTCCATATTCAGATGTTGAAGTCCCAGTGCACAAGGTGATGATATTTGGAGGTAGAGCCTGCAGGAGGTGATTAGGTCATGATGGTGAAGCCCCCGTGAATGCAATCAGTGCCCTTGTAAGAAAAGACACAAGAGAGCTGACCTCTCTCTCAGCCCTATGAGGACACAACAAGAAGGTGCTGTCTACAGACCAGGACTAAGGCTCTCACCATACACAAAATGTACCAGCACCCTGATCTTGAACTTCCTAGCTTCTAGAACTATGATAAATAAAAGTTTGTTGTTTAAATCACCGAATAGGGTAATGCATTATAACAGCCCAAGCTGACTAGGATATGTGTCTTTCATCTTTATGTTCTTAAGATGTTCATGCTAAGCACTGTCAGAGGAAGGAAGAGATTACAGAGAAGGCAGATTAGTCTGCCTTTCTTTTTTTAACTTTGCTATTCCTTTTTATAAACATTTAGATCTTAAATTAATTGTTAATTTACCTTGTTCCTAATAAATAGTCCATGTGCCAATATCTTTCATTGAATGCCTTTTGCATCTTTTTCCTTCTAAGTATGGGATTTATTTTTATATCCTATAACTCATTCTATTAATGTATTTATTAACTCCTTTATGATATTGTTTGCATTACTATGTTGTTTAATGTTTTTATTACCATAGCAATCAATTATGTCCTGATAACCCACTGGACAAGTCATATTCATTATTCATGTCTGACATTTGTTTTTCTTGACCATTTCACACATACACGTTTTCAAATGAGCTTGTTTGTGTTTTTTTTGATTGCTTGTGTTTGTGCTTGATTTATTAGTCCTTTGATGGAAATTACATTAAAATTTTGTATCAAAAGTTGATATACATCTTTACATATCCAGTGTTTTTATTTAGAAACAGAGCATGTTTTATTTTTCTATTCATGCAAGGTTCTTTCATTCTTTAGTATAAAGTTATCTTGTAGAGGTAATTAAGCTTATTTTAAAATATTCTTTAAAAGAAACATTTACTATAGAGCATGTTAAATCTATGCAAAAGCAGACAAAGCAATTTAATCAATTTGTATTTACATAGCTTTGACAATTTTTGACTGATAGACAAACTTGTTTCATCTATGACTACCCACTTTCTCCTCTCGTATTATTTGGAAGAAAATCTAAGAAGTCATAACATTTCATACATAAATGAATATGCATTTAAATATATACACACACACACACACACACACACACACACACACACAGGGGCATATATGTCTTTTATTAAATGTAACCATAATATGCTTATCACATTTAAAATTACTAGCTGCTCTTAATTTATTAAATATCACAGTCTGTTTGAAACATTATAAAATAATGTTTTATAACATTAATAAATAGATCTATTTATTAGTAAATAAATCTATTCAGTCTCTTTTTTTGGTGGTAACTTTTAAAAAATTTATTTTATTTTTTTCCATTCCTTTATTGAAGTATAGTCAGTTTACAATGTTGTGCCAATTTGGGGTGTACAGCATAATGTGTCAGTCATACATATACAGCTGGAGGAATAACCCTTCTGGGCTTCAAACAATATTGCAGAGCTACAGTAATCAAAACAAGGTGATATTAGCACAAAAACAGACACATGGATCAAATACAACAGAATAGAGAACCCAGAAATCTATCCAGCTTCTTTTAATTTGCATGTTCTGCCTCTGTGTCTTCTGGTATTTTTCCTTGAAATTCGTTTCTTTCAGAAATCTGATTGTTTGGCCTGTAGACTTCCCCACAGTCTGAGCTCTGCTGTTGTCATCACTCGATGTAGTTTTCCATGGTCCTCTGTTTTCTGTGTATCCTAAAAATTGGTAGTTGAACCTAGAGTCACCTTCAGATTCAGCTTTTGCTTCATAGATGGTGTCGTGTTCTTTCATGAAGAGCCACACAACTTTGGGTTTTCTCATTTTTCTAATGTAAGTATTCATTAACGTTCAATGACTAGATCAATTTATTTATTAGAGTCTAAAAGCAGTAATATTCTATTTCTATCATTCCTTCTTCATTTCACATACGAAAGAGAAACTTCCCCTTATTGCCTACTTGATTACTTAGTGGTACAGTTTATGTAGGAAAGGCAAGATATGTGCTTCATTTTCTTAGAGAAATGATAGAATACTATACATTATGGATAAATTGGACTTTTGCCACTGCAAGTAGTGCTGAAGTTAATAGCCTTGTCCATACACCGTTTTGTATTTTTGCTAGTGCTTCAGTGGGACAGGTTCCCAGCAGAAGGATTGCTAGTTAAGAGTATAGCACAGGGAACTATGTTCAGTATCTTGTAGTAGCCTATGGTGGAAAAGAGTATGAAAACGAACATATGTATGTTCATGTATGACTGATGCACTATGCTGTACACCAGAAACTGACACAACATTGTAAACTGACTAGACTTCAATTAAAAAAAAAAAAAGAGTAAGTGCATCCTACTGAGAACCGCTTTCGCCCTTTGCATTCTGCCTGATGATAACCAGATTTCTTTCTGGATGCTCTCACCTCCATCTTTGCTAACTTTGCTTCTTTTATCTAGAACACTTTCTGCTATTTCCTCATTCCCTGTATCAGATGAACTCCTATTTTTCAGCTTTCAGAGTATATGCCCCTTCCTTACAAGAGCTTTACCTGACAACGTGAAGGGACAGCTAGCTACATGCATACCGACTGTCTTCTCCACCAGATTGCTGTCCCCTTAATGTTAGAGACCTGCCTGTTTTGTTCACCGTTCCAGTCACTTACACAGGGTCTGTGCTCGTATGTGCGCACTCATAAATATTCATCGAATTAACATGTTGCTTTACTTTTACCTTACAGTTTGATTGCACGAAACCAATCACACCAGGCCATGATAACTATATAGGCTCCCCGTTGCTGAAGGACAGAATCCATTGTGTGGCATTCGTGTTCAATGCCAACTCTGTTGAACATCTCTCTAAAGAAATGGTGTCAAAGATCAAAAGAATTCAAAGGGAGTTGATAAAGTGTGGTGAGTCTCATTCCACTTAAGTACTGAGGGCAACTGATTTGACTGTATTGTTGGGTGGCTTCGGGACAGGAGGAAGAACTTAGGAAACTGCATTTGTGACTATTCCCTGGCATCTTAATGTTATTCAGTCAAACGGAGCACTCACTAGCTGTGTGACTTTGTGCAAGTGACTCAAACTCTCTGAGCCTCAATTTAGCATCATAACAGCATGTACCTCAGAGATTTATTGTAAGGGTTAAACAAATTAATAGAGATGAAGAGCTTAATACAGTCCTCACTACCTGCTACCACGGCATCCTGGCATGCATTTTTTTATCAAGATTCTTACATTTCCCCTTGAGTCTTAAAGGATTAGAAAGTGGGAAAGAACATTTCAGTATGAAAAAGAGGCAGCAAAGTAAGATTTTGGATAGAAGAGGTAGCATAAAGACTTCGGCGAAGGTAAATAGGGTTGGGAACCAGGGGGCCTCACGCTGGCTTTTCTTGGCTTTGTTATCCACATCGTGTTTGGGAATGAGCCAGTTTGTCACACTCTGGTTAAGTTAGAAGCAGGGAGGGATTACTGACCGTCTCGCTGAAATTTAAAAGCTTGCAAGGGTGGTGTGCCGGGAGGTGCTTGTTAACACTGTGACATGGGAGCACTGTATTTGTGATGCCTTGATAAATTCCATCTCCTTCCTGAGGCCTCTTCTCTCCCGTCTTGTTTGTTAGAGTCCTTTTGATCTTTTCTTTAGTCTCCATAAAAACACAGCTGTTTGGACAGGATATGAAATCATTAAGTAAAATTGTAGCATAAATGTGACTTCCCTCTTCCAAGAGGTGGTTCACTTGAAGCATCCTCTTTTACCATGGAAGGCAATGAAGGAATTTCCTGTTTCAGAGGAATTCCAGGCACCAGTGAGTAGTTAAGGGGGATTTACTGTGAGGGAGTAGGAACCTTCCCAAATCTCTGAAGTTGCTCATAGATAACCTATTGCATAGCTGAGAGCTAGCTGATTAACTGAGAAATCCTGAGGTTGTCTAGACTGATAAATACATCATAAAAATGTAATGAAAAAACGTTAAAAAATCTATCTGTTTGGCATAGGTGTGGTACATGTGGTTTTGCTCACTCATGTGGATACCTTGGATATGATTATGAAAGGTGACCTTGTGGACATATACAGCTGTCTGCCTGTGAAACTCAAGGTAATGGGCGATGCCATTTATAAACACATTTTCTGGGGTACGTCACTATGTTCACATGATATTACTGTGTATGAAAATAAAATAAACATCTCCTGAGTTTAAGAAGAATTAAAACCACTGGGATTTCAAAATGTAGAATAAATAAACAAGATTGTACTGTATAGCACAGGGAAATATATACAAGATTTTGCGGTAGCTCACAGTAAAAAAAAAGTGACAATGAATATACATATGTTCATGTATAACTGAAAAGTTGTGCTCTACACTGGAATTTGACACAACATTGTAAAATGACTATAACTCAATAAAAAATGTTAAAAAAAAGAAGAGTTAAAACCATTGCTTGGGATAATTCAGACTCATTTCCCAAGTTTTAAAAATTAAATATATGTTCATCATTATGCTGATACAGATAATTCCATCCATTACAATTTAATTTAATTAGGTTCAATTCAACCAGTATTTATCAGATGATGAAAACAAGTTCCCTGCACTAAAAAGCTTATAATTTTATCAATAGAGGTGAGAGGTTGGGGAAGTAAGATAAGAGGAAATTGACAAAAGAATGTGATGTGATTGAGTATGATAAGTGTCATGAAATGATTAAAAATGAAAAGTATTTAATGTTTAGAGAAGACAAAATTGTATTACAGGGATGGGGAAGATTTTATTACTGAGGTGGCACTGGGAGATGACTTTCAAGGAGAAGAAAGTATTTCAGGAAATGAAGGGACAAAAATGGGGAGGAAAAACCAATTTCAAGCTCTAGGAACAGCATAAGTCAATAATACATCAGTGAAGGAAAAGGCAGCATGTGAGGGAATCATGGAGCCGTTAATTTAGTGGAGGTTTGGATCCTTGGAGCGGGGGAGGAAGTGAGAAAGTTTCATTTGCATGAGGTGATTTAATTCATTAGGTGCATATGGGGAATCATAAAAATTTTTGGAAAGAATATTGTCGTGACCAAAGTTGAGCTTCAGAAAAATTAATCTGCCACCCACGTGCAGAATAGATTGGAGTCAAAAGGAACCTGGAGGTGGGAACACCAGTTGGGAAGACATAATGATAACTAATATTTGTTGAACACTAAGTATGTGAGAAATTTTCCTACTGAATACTTACAACCCTGTGAGACAGGTACTGTTACGACCACATTTGATAGATACAGAAACAAAAGGAGACAGAGTAAAAGCATTTGCCAGTTTATTGATAGTGCTAAGAAGTGACAGAGCCCTGTTTTGAATCCAGGCAGTGCGGCTCCACGAATAAACTAGTCTAAGCACGAATGAAGCATTGACATTAAACTAGTCTAGTAAAATGGCTTATCCTGAGAATAACCTTTAAAAGGAAACAGGCAAATTATGGACTCTAGTGTAAGGGCATTAAAAATGCTTCAATTTCAAAGCAGTTCATATGGAACTATTAGTTGTTTTTTTATTTCTAATTCATATTGAATCTACTACATGTATGCTAAGTTGAAAACGAGCAGTGATAATAGATCTTGACTTGCCAAGGTCTTGAAGAAAAGAACTTTATGGGGCTAAATCTCTGTCCCCCGTCCTCCAACAGGGAAAGTACTGCCAAGCTCCTACGTTTTGTTACTGCTTTCATGATTCATGTTGACGTAAAATTGTATTTTTCACTGTCTTAAGATTTCTGGGTTTTAATGTCGGTGTTGCAGTTGGAGGCAGTTCACCGAGAACTTGGATTTCCTCCTTCTAACATCTTCGTGGTTAGAAATTACACCTCAGAGTGGGAGCTGGAGCCTGTCGTGGACGTTCTGGTCCTCTCTGCGCTGAGGCAGATGCTGTGGGCTGCAGACGACTTCTTAGAGGATCTGCCCTTTGAAGAAACAGACAGATGTGTTTGGTGACGCAGAAGCGCGAACGTGTGAGCTCCGCGGGGACTTCCGGTTTGTGTCCCTCCTGGAGGATCTGCACTACTTCTCTAACCCTTCGTCTCTTTTTAAAATGAAATTCTTGACATGACCCACCCGTGCCTTTCCCACTGAACATTCCCAGCTGCATCTTTGCCCTCTTCTGTCAAAATGGGCTTCATTGCGTGAGACCCAGAAAGGGCTTGGCTCGCCGTTGTTCCTGATCCGATATGGTCTTTGACTGTTGGTCCTTTTCTGGGACCTGATGCTGCTTTGCCCTTTTTAGCTTGGCTTTTCGACACCTCTCCTCGTCAGAGTCTCTCTTAAGGCAGTGTGATCAGTTCTGGGTAGCGGTGTTGACAGCCTCAGATTTTAGGGTTCCATGTATTTTCTGTTGTCAACGTGTGCGCACTACTCGCTTTACCGTTCCAACCAGAGATCAGACACGTTTCAGTCTAAACTCAAATCTTACTTTAGTTTGTGGGAAGTCAAATTAGGGTATCATAACATCTCTAGTTCTCTCTCACTGCAAACTACTGGGAAACCCTCATTCTACTGCCTTTGCTGTCCTGACTCTGCAGTCTTGGTTTCTCCATTCTTTCTCTTCCTCATGGTGCAGGCACTCTCAAAGCCAGGGTTGGCTTAGACCTCCAGGAGCCCAGTGGGTTTTCCTCCTGCTAGTTGCTTTTCCCTAAATAGTCCATCAAGAATATTTTTTTTCTCTTTATTCAGAGATGAGAGGAAAGGATTATTAAGTGTATGAGTAAAGACAATGAGTAAGTGAATGTTTTACATTAATATATGTGTATTTTTATCTCATCATGGAGGAATGAAAATTAAGACATGAGAAAACACAGGAAGGAGAGAAGTAGTGGAAACTGAACCTATTTTATTTTTATCTGGAATGAAGTTACACATACAAAATCATATCACCTATAAATAAGAACAGCACAATTTAAAGTCATTAATTGTGAAAACAATCGTAATTCCTTTTGAATTTATGTTTTGTATCTGTGAAAAATTAAAGTTTCTTTTTATAAAACCCGAGTCTAACATGGGTGCGTGTGTGTGTGATTTTGGCAAAGCTTATTTTAATATGATTTGCCAGCATCTTCTGCTCTTCACTCAAGTCATTTTAATTTGCCTTCTTATTTTATTTCTAAAGTGCTTGATTTTGCTCTCTTTGTGTCCCAGTTAATGTTGTATTCTTTAACCTAAATCCATTTTTACTTTAATATCTGAACACTTCTTCCAGGATGTGGCAGTTAGTGAGTTCCAGAAGACCAAAATTGAAAGGGACTGTAGTATGATTACTCTGTAAGTTACGACTATTTTAGTTACAAGTGACAAAACTCAACCTGAACTGCGTGATTAGAAAAGAAGACTGTAGTAATGGGCCAAGTAATCATACCATGGGAAAGGCTGGGATTGGACTGAATTGTCCTCATAAGTGGTTGAATTCAGGGATTCCAGAACTATTCTGTTTCTTTCTCTCTCCCTTAAACAAACACACACACACACACACAGCCTTTTGATCCCTTCTTTCTGTATATTGTTGTCATTCTCTCAGGCTAGCAATCTTTTTCTTTTTATTGAGGTATAGTCAGCTTACAATGTTGTGTCAACTTCCGGTGCACAGCACAATGCTTC